TTATGAAACAAGAAAAATAAATTTAAAATACTACAAAAAATATATATATTATATTATTAAATTTCATTACTTTGTAATCAAATTTTATCTTGTAATTAAATAGTTTTAATGGTTTAAAAGTAAAATTACAAATTAAATTAATTATATTAATTTTAAATTTTTATAATGCAAACTAACTTAACCTTATATTAGTTTGATTTGATTATTAATTAATTTAATTTAATTTAAACCGAATCAATTAAATTAAATAATGTAGCCATCTCAAAATAAATAAATTTATTAAATATCTATTTTTAATAATTTAAACAAAATAACTAACGTTATTATGAAACTGTTATACCAGTCAATGCCATGGCTCATGAGCGGAGAAATGACGGCTCTGAGATCTCACGAAGATACCTGTAACCATTAGCCACTCAAATTAAGAGGCGGCGAAAACTGAGATTGCGCCGGCCAATTTCGTCTGCTGTCTCTCCAGCCCTGGTGAATTCTCCGGTAGATTCTCCATTACTTTTAACATTTTAGGCAATTAGATTTTTCAGAAGTTCCGTACCAGAACGAAGTTGGGTAGAACTCCGGTTACTCCACCAAAGCAGCAAACCCAGATTTTCGAAATCATGAAGTAATTAATTGTTGGGGCATTCCATATATATGTGGTAGTTGGTAAAATTCTCATTGTGTGTGAGCACTGTTTGCTTGGTACTGTTAATTGTAGGGTTAATGAGAGTGCTGGACGTTGTTATTTTTTTATTGTGCTTGCAACTTTTGGACGAGGGGAAAAAATTCAGACTTTAAGAATATGGAGTTTATTGAGGACAAAGTGGTGGAGCATGTTTAAAACTTCCTCTTTTTTTTTAAGGTAAAATGTTATACTAACAGGATCAAATGCTTGAAGACTACTCTATGGTTTAATTTTTCTCTCATAAAGATATCAAGACGATTATTTGAGTACACTCAAAGTTGGATAATTTACGGCTATGGCTTTCATTTACTAGTTGTTTGAAAGGTTCAACTTTCTCAGTTTCCTGTGATTGAACATGTTAGGTATTACTATTGGCATATGGCAACTATTTCTAGCTGCATTGAATTTTTGAGATCCATCATGATCAATACTTCTCTGTTGTGTATATTCAGGTTGGGGCTGTTGTTGGATCAATCAATCTTTCAACATCTATAAATGTCCAGTAAGTTCACCCCCCTTTAGTCAAATATTTGCATTCATCTGCACTCAGATCCACTAACATGTAGTATAGAGGAGGGAAAAAGGAAAAAACTTTGCCCTTGAACTTTTCCCAAAATGAGAAGTTGGAGAAAGTTTGAGGACTAAAGTGGGGTTCTGGGCCTGGAGAGCAAGCCACAACCTATCCTGTCAATCTAATTACACTGGAGATTTGGCTGATGGCTTTCTTGAATTTGTATTTTAGTATAGCTTTGTTTCAATGTTTTCTTATCTGAGGAAGTTATTCTTGAGAAAAATGATTGGTATATATATGTCATCTTTAAAAGTATCCATTTAAGACATTCAACTAAAGGGTTCAATTAAAAATTGCAAAAGTAGGCATTGCGTCATCACAGGAGCTTCTTTGGTCCCTATGGAATGCTCAACTCAGGACATTTACTACCAGTAATTTGTCATTTTTCCTTATTAAGGCTGCATGCAGCTTCTTTGTAGGTTTCCCTTTTATTAATTTGGCTTTATCTAATATCTCTTGCTACCAAATATGGTTATGTTGCAAACTTTCCAAGAACAATGCTCATATGACATTCTTGGGAAAATGAATGTCCAAAATATTATTAGTATTATTATTTTCTGCTCAGTTTAATCAATTCTTTCATTTTTAGTAAAGACTAAGGTTGATCAAATGATTGATTATCTTTTTCATTCATTCTCATGATTCTAGACTTTACTGTTCCTGGTTCAGGTAGTGGTTATATAGTACAACTTATTTGTGGATCCACTCAGGGCAGTCAACTTTGTGTCAACTTGTATGGTGGACTGCTTTGTAGATAAGTATGGCTTCTTTTTTTATGAAAAAATGTAAGCATGCTTTCGTAAAGAAATATAGCTAAGTAATGGCTGATGCTATAAGGCTACTGCTTTATCTGGATATCAGTTTATTGGAGTTCTGGTGAGATTTTTCTCTGTAATCTTCTTCTTGATTTGTTCTCTTTGTTATTTAACTATTTTGATCGTATCCGAGCACTTGGAGGGATTTATTCTTATGGTACATTTTGGACCAATTTTATTGGAGTTCTGATTCCATTTTCAACCTCCTTGGCTCCTTTTGCTCTTCATTTTTTCTTTTATTCAATATATCTTCCTTTGTTGTTTGAAGAAAATAGTGAGTGTGATATCTACTGCCACTGATATTCATTGCAGCCTTGTGGCATTTGTTCTTGCAGGATCAGGAACAAAGCTATGCAACCGTCCATAAACTAATAACTGTGCTGGTGTGCCCCCTAACACATGATACTTGGCACCTCAACTCTTATTCTGCTTACTTCCACTATTGTGGTAAAGAAGTGAAGGAAAAAACTTTCATTTCGCTAAAACAAGTATCTCCATGTTTAGACTACTCAAACTTCCACCTTCTCTTTCAACTCATTCTTCATTTCTTCTGACTAGGCTCTATTGCTCTTGCTGAAGAGAGAAAGAAGCCTTCTTTATTATTATTATTATTATTATTTTTAAATAACTGCCCATTTAGACAAAGATTAATTACAGGGGAGCACTATGGGGAGATGTGTTTGATTTGGTCTCTGTTTTAGATGAAGCTATAATTGTATGAGAATTCCGAAGGGAGTAAATATTCTTGTGTTACATGATTAGATGTTTCACACCTGATGAGTCTCTGGACAAGGAAGCTTGTATTTTCTGCCCTGTAGTAGGATTGGAACGCTTAAATGCAAAGGTGAAGTTTAATACTCCTTTTGACTTCTCAAAAATTTACCTAAGAATTAATTTTACTTGTATTTCTCCTTCTGCTTTATATGGGAAGCAGAATCAAGCTTTACACAGGCTTTCAGAGGTATTATGTATTGACCAGTGACAATTGCCTGATGCTTAAGCTCTCTTATTTCTCCCACCTTCTACATACGGTGAAAGAATTTAGCACAGACTAACACCAAGTATTTTTTGTTATTATTCATTGGACATAGTTTCACTTTGGGAAATATCTATTTTCAGTTGAGATTTAGAGTCTATTTTAATTGATATGATTATGTTTGCAGGCCTAAAGATGGTTTGATCTGAGAGCACCTGTTAACAATGGAGAAGAATCATCTCTCAATGATTCTGAAATTCTTTGTCTATAACTCAATACACCGGCAGAAAAATGCATCACATTTTTTAACAGGCTCTGTTTGCAAAAACAATCAAAGGGAGTATAATCAGCATCCAGACTGAGGTTGCTGTGTCCTAATTGTGCTCACCAAAGAATGCCATGGTTTCATCTAGTTTTTGCCTATCAAATTAGTTAAATAGAATAGTTTTTCACCCAATGTAGCAAAAAGAAGGAATGTTTTGGGAAAGACTCAGATGGCCCTGACTACTGGGCATGAGTTTTGTAAATTGCAGGAAATAGAGTACAGAAAGCAGAATCACTGCACAAGAGAACTTGGCTTCAGTGTTTCATTCAGCTGAATTTGGATCCATGGCTTTCACTTTGATTGACGTAGATAATAGATTCAAATGCAAATACCTCAGTTATTGAATTACTGTAAAAAGGTTTTTTCTTAGATGTATGACTGGTGATAGATCATAGCATTATTTTCTCTAGACGATGAAGAATAGCTTCAATAAAACCCACTATTACTTTGCTTCACCCCATCTCTTTTACTTTGTTTCAGAGGAGAAGGTGCACCACTAACTTGGCCAAGAGACCAGGAGCCTGTTTGCACTTCTAAGTTTAAGGCCGATTACATAAACTTCTTTCGTGTCAAAGAAGCAGTAATAGCAGTACATGGATAGTTATAGCAAGTTTCGATAGCAATAAAGGGATAGTTATAGCACGTTTTGTTATCTTTACACACTACGAAGCAATGCTTCTGCTGGCTAAAGCTTACAAAATCTCCAAGAAAGGAACGTACGAGGATGACTAAGTGTTGTCTCCAAAATCTCCCTTTCTGGCTGCGTGGTAGATAAGATTGCGAAGGCGTGCCACTCACTTTGCTCAAAGTGAGAAAGGGGGATTCCCGGTGACCCTCACTACTTCCAAGCGTGGAACTCGGCTACAAGTCGATAGAAGAGCAC